ATCTTAATTAAAGAAGTGATCTTCAGCAAAGAAGTGATCTTCAATAAAGAAGTGATCTTCAGTAAAGAAGTGATCTTCAGTAAAGAAGTGATCTTCAGTAAAGAAGTGATCTTAATTAAATAAGTGATCTTCAGTAAATAAGTGATCTTCAGTAAATAAGTGATCTTCAATAAAGAAGTGATCTTAAATAAAGAAGTGATCTTCAGTAAAGAAGTGATCTTCAATAAAGAAGTGATCTTCAGTAAAGAAGTGATCTTCAGTAAAGAAGTGATCTTCATTAAAGAAGTGATCTTCAGTAAACAAGTGATCTTCAGTAAAGAAGTGATCTTCAATAAAGAAGTGATCTTAATTAAAGAAGTGATCTTAATTAAAGAAGTGATCTTCAGTATAGAAGTGATCTTCAGTAAACAAGTGATCTTCAGAAAAGAAGGGATCTTCAGAAGAACTCTCCACTCGTGTAGACACAAAATATCACTGATCAAAACACACAAACCAGCAGGCGACGCCTGTTTTAGCTTTTAGCCACAGTTTAGCTGCTTTGTTCATTGTAAATGTTGCTCATTTAAACCTTTAGCTGCTGTTTTGATAATCTGAGCTCATATTATATTGTTGTTATTGTTGTTATTGTTGTTATTGTTGTTATTGTTATTGTTGCTATTGTTATATATTGTTTGTTCTGCTGTTTTTATACTCGAGATGTGCTGGTCTTGTTTACTTCAGCAGATTTCAGCAGAAGTTCAGCTCTCGGTGTAAAGCTCCATCTTTGTTGTTGTTGTTGTTGTTTGTGCAGGAAGGAGCCAACATAAACAAATCTCTGACCACGCTGGGGAAAGTGATCTCGGCGCTGGCTGAAATGGTTTGTAAAGCCAGATTAAAAGAGTGAAGTGTTCAGATTAGGGTTCTGTGAGGAAACTGAGCGGTTCTGTGTAACCTGCAGCAGAGCAACAAGAAGAGGAGGAGCGACTTCATCCCCTACAGGGACTCTGTCCTCACCTGGCTGCTGAAGGAGAACCTGGGTACACTGCTGCTCCTCACACCTCCCATGAGCTCATGTGACTAAAGCTTCAGATCATTTACTGAGAATAATCTGATTAAATAATCCGATTCAATCTGTCTGTCAGGAGGAAACTCTCGGACGGCCATGATCGCTGCTTTAAGTCCTGCTGACATCAACTACGAAGAAACGTTGAGCACCCTGAGGTGACCTCTAATAATCCCACTTAATCTGGTTCTGAGTATGGGTCTGTGGCCTGACCGGGTCCGGTCTGGTTCCAGGTACGCGGACCGGGCCAAACAGATACGCTGTAACGCCGTGATCAACGAGGATCCAAACGCCAAACTGATCCGAGAACTGAAGGCTGAGGTGGACCGGCTGAGGAACCTGCTCTTCTCCCAGGGTCTGCAGGAACTGCTCCACAACACCGGTACACAACTCATGCACGACTCATGCACGACTCATGCACAACTCATGCACAACTCATGCACGACTCATGCACGACTCATGCACGACTCATGCACGACT